CAGCTTTGTCAAACTGATTGGCGAGCACAGCGTTCTCGGCGTACGTATTTCCGAAAACAAAGATCCCCTCTCAGCATCTCCTTGCTAGTCATATTCTCATGTCTACACTATATTTGACCAGGAACTAACATGGTTGATAGCGAACCATCGTTGTCCACGCGGGTACTGATGACCTCGGCAAGGGCGGGAATGAAGAGAGCAAGAAGACCGGCAACGCGGGTCCTCGACCTGCTTGCGGGGTCATCGGAATTGCCGCATAAAGTGACATGATACCGACACGAAAGCCTCGAGCACCATGTCGCCATTTGTCCATTCCGATGGGAACCAACATCGGACTCATCCACTAGCAGATGAAACTGCAGGAGAGGAAGATCTTGAAAGACAACCAAAATTCGACGACCGGGAACATAGTCAATTGTGTCAGGATACCGAGAGTTGAACAAGATCAATGGCGAACATGGGATGCTCTGGTTTGTGTGTCGAAGTTACGCTTTTAAAACCAAAAGTGGCTTCCAGCTATCTTCCTGTACGCAATAAAGGGCCCAATATAGATAGCAACAATTGTAAGCACAGATTATGATATCTACCACCCACAGTCATGTCCGTCCGTCTGAAGTTATCATTATATATATGCTGTTTGTTGGGGTATTTTCCGCACGGCGTTTGAACTCCAGTCCGTAGCACTGCCAGGCTCCAGAACGTCTAAGCCGCAACGACAAAGGCAGAAGAGACCCACGCCGCGCCGTCCAAAGATGCAAAGCAAGGTGTCTTGATGCTCCCAAAACAAAATGGTAACAAGCCTGCCAGTAGCGGAGTCGAATATGCCAAATCATCCGCCCACCTCCATGTAAGCTTCCGTGTCGCACATCGTGAAAGCAAATTAGATAGATAGCATTGAGTGGTCGCATTGTGGAGCTTGGGGGAACAGACCCAAGCGGTCTCTTCCTCATCTCCTGACAGGGATTCGAGGCTGAAGCTGGAGTCGTTTTATACCTCCGTCGCAGTCACGAATCTTTCCATAGCTGGCCGCTCGCTTTCCCCGTTCCGCTCCCCTGTCTCTGAAATCGTCAGTTTCTGGGCCTCGATCGCTAGTCCTTTGCTCGTGTCGCTCGCCACAAGCACTTCGGGGTTTCCCTCGCCGTGACCCGTGGCGTTGCCGTTCATGTGACCATTGGCGGTGGGTGGAAGGGCTGAGATTGATTCTTGAGCAAGTTTTGCCCCGATAGCGGTCGTCATGGCGATGGAGTGTGCAGGAAGAGGACCAGGTTCAGGTTGGGATGGCGGATGAGGAAGCGGTTCTGACTTCGACGGCGCTGTCGATTGTGCTTCTGTGTGTGGAGTTTGTGCTTGCTGCTCCGAATTCGTTTGGGTCGCAATAATATTCGCAACTGTGGCTCCTCCAGCCGCTGCAGCTGAAGCTTGTTCAGCTTCATGATGGGGTAAGGCAGTTCCATTGGGCACGGGCGGCCTCTCGCTCGAAGACACTTTTTTGTCCGGATGGACGGGATTTTCAGTGTAGTCCGCCGCGTAGACAACAGGCTTCATCTTTTCAATGTCCCGACTTGGGCGCCTGAGTTTGCCCTTGTCAGATCCGACGGGCACTCTCTGCCCGTCAAGCCAAAGGCAGGGCCCTGTGACCCAGCCTTTGTTCCCATCTCTCTCCAAAGCGGCCCGGGTTTCATCGTCCAGATCGGGTAGATCACCCCATTCCCAGTTGAGATCGCCGCCATAACGCTTTGGGAAGTCCTTGGTTTCCATAAATTTTTCCAAGGTAGGTTTCACGTCATTTTTGCTGAGAATGAAGATTTTGGAGACGGTTACGGGGTCGAACCAACGTTTGATCCAGCCCCAGACTGTTGGAAAGAAACCGGGCGCGCCGATTATCTGGCCACAGTTAGCTCGTTGTACCCCGGGAACTCCAAGTGGAGGGTTTGCTCACAAAAATCCTGTCCAGGGTTTCCGGGTAATGTGCTGTTGCTAAGACAGAGGCATCCTGCATATGGGCCTTTAAATTCCAGAACTGCGTCAAACCCACCCCCGAAATATCGACAATATTTGTAGAGTTTGTCACAGGGACTTCAGGATTCGGCCTCTCGAGGGTAGAAACGAGCGGTAGGACGAAGTTGAGCAGATTCTGGTATAGGGCGAACAGGGGCAGCAGTTTGGCGGGTGTGGAGAGATTCTTGTGGTTCGGAAGGCTGTCCTTGTAAGCTTGCGAGTCTTTCTGGTATCTCTGTACGTTTTTGCTGTCAAGGCCCTTGATCAAGAACACGTAAATGGGGATGCCTCGTCTGTCCCGGTGGCCAGTCCATTGAGGATACTGTCATTTTGAAAAACTGTCAGATAGCTGTCGCAAATCTTACTGCGTGTTGCCACTGGATTTGCTGGCTTACCATCAGCCGAGCCTTCTCATACGACTCAATATCAAAGTTGTCATAAAGCTCTTCTACCCGTTGCTCTTTGAGCCATTGCTCCGTGTCGGTAAACTGCCCAATTGCACCTTTGACGTCGAACTTCCGGGCGCGTAAGTATCGACTGTAATGTACAAGTTAGCGGGGAATCAACGCGTTGCTTGCATATAGCTCAAGATGGGATCGTACAGTAGAGTTGCATCATCATGGCTGGGTTTGCCATTGACACCATCGGGCTTCCACCACCCCCCTTCTTGCAGGCGCTGCTTAAACTCTTGGAGCCTTTGTTCTTGGATAGGATTTAAATGATTCAGGGTGCCGTTTAGAGGGTCTGCAGTGGTCGTTCTAGTCAAGCTCGGGTGTGCATGTGTACCAACGGAATGATCCGACGTTTGCGATTGACCGGTCAGGGTTCGGTAGAGGGTGCTCATCTCGGTGTTGAAGGGTGTTGCGAAGTATCCAAGGAAACAGTGCTGTGGGCAAAGGTTTTGGAGACTCTAGGATTGGTGGGCAGGGTCCTCGGTACCGATAGATAGGTAACACCTCTGGACTGCTTGTAATGGAGTGACCAAAGAATAATCTGGATATCAATAATTCATTATAATAGGAGGAATGGATGGTGTTTGCAGTCGAGAGCTTCTACACCGCAGGGACGAAGATGTACGAGGTATGATATTAGGCGTGCCAAAGAGAAGCCCTTTTGCTCAAGAAACCCTTTTTTGGGCCATGATAAAATTATCTTAGCGACCGAACGGGCTGGCCGGAACGAATGTCCAAGAAGGCCCAAGGGGGACGGGAAATACAGGGGCACCAGGGGAGAAAACGATGACCGTGGTGATGGGATGAAGGAACAAATCAACAAATCTGATTGAACTGGAAAGGTGACGCTGATATCATCCTGCCACCTGCGACCCTCCAAACTGCGGCTTTCGACCTGGCGACTTGGCAATCTGCATCACCACTTTTTATTCCTTTGTTGTGCAGCAATCCATGCACCGTCCGTAGTGGTCAACAGTGTCCAGGCAAGTTGTCCAGGGCCTTCGCCACCCCCAGAACTGACTCGCCTACAGGCTTCGGCTATGCCTGGACTTGTCCCTATCCCCCTCCGACGCCTCAACCTAGTCGGTGCCCAGTCTGCCCAGTCCATCCTGTCCACTCGGCGACTCGGAGAGCGAAGGGCATAAAATGATCCCGAGTCACGGTATGCGGATGCATACATCGGCCGAGAAGTTGGAGTGACCATGGCTCAACACCCACTATTACAGACCTAAAGCAATAAAATAAGGTGCACAGAAACATTGATCTGCGTCATTTTCCCACTGGCACACACCGGCGTCTTTGGTAGGGACCACGGTCAACTCCATCGTCGACCCTTTTCCGACTTTGTCAGGGTACCAGACGCGCCCTGGCAATGTTGATGATTATGATGATGATAGTTAGCGGGGTTCTGATGGATTCTGGTGACACTGGCGGCTCCAGATGATGCTCTATTTTCTGCTTCTGATAATTCACGCGTATGCTCGTACTTGTACACCATCGAACATCAACCTCCACAGTCACAACGAGGGTGTGCAAGTTTCTTGTCCGCCTCGGTTCCTTGCCGCCTGCTCCTGCTAACATTTCGCCACGCCTTTAATCGTCCTGTTCCTTGCACCTACGGGTATCAGATGAGCTGCGATCGAATGCAGAACGACCACGCTCACACAATTCTTAGTCACAATTGGAGTAAATGTTCACCCTTGTCAGCTGAAGTAATGCTTGAATCGCCTCAAGTAAGCAAGACCCGTTTGGGGACTGTGTCGAGAGGCTATCCACCATCCCAAGATAGCCGACGAGGCTGCCAACCCCAAGGACTGATATACGGCCGGCTTTTCAATCTCTTTCTCTCCACGGACATTGGTAGCTTGCGAGACTCTCATAAAACGACGAATATGTTGTTGGGTCAGTAGAATAAGTGTCGGGCCCAAACATCCTTGGACAATCAAGCCCTATCATGCACACAGTAACTCCCTCCACCTGTGTCTTGTTGCAGTTGATTCTGGATCTGCTACTCATATTTTCGAACCTCGTCGTCGACATGAGTTCTATCATCCTGTCATTCTGGAGAGCCGTGCATGGACTTTTTGAAAAGAACGGCATGGCATCTGCTCGTATAGCTCATTTGCTGGTCCATCCTCTTCCCGACGAGCCTCTGGAAGGAAAAAGAATGGCACAGTCTGACAGAATGTAGATGCCCTCATAAAAGCGATGAGGCGGGCGCCAGATCAAATACAGCTGATATTATTGAGGATAGGAGGCCATTATACCTAGTGATGGCGAGATGGTTACCTGTGAGCCAGTATTTGCTATTTCTCGTCAGACTATTTCAAATGACATGTTAAGACAAACGGTGAAGCGGAGATTCTAAAAACGCAACGCTAGCGCCACCTCCAACCGACTTGTCACGGCACTCCGATCTCAATTGCACCCTTCTTCATACAGCCTTGAACGCCTCAACTGACCATCCCGCTGGAAGACCTCAGCCGCCTCATCTCCCTTCCTTAGGCACTCTGCCAGCTCCTCCTGCAGCTCCGGCAGCCCGTGCCCGCCATGGCCAAACCCGTCTGGAAAGGCAACCACCCCGTCCGGCAAATCAACGCAGCACCGCCATTCTACAGATTCTGCGCAACAGGATTAGGCGCCGCCATGTGGTTCTTTGTGAGTTCTGATACTAATTGCCAACCGCGCCGGTGACTCTTGCGGGGGGAGCTGAGCTGGAGCTGAGCTGACGGTCTGGGGATGTCCAGCTATTCTACAGAGCGAAGAAAGACGGCCCTGCCCTGATCGGCCTGAAGCACCCCTGGGATCACTAGATTATGGAAATGCGGTTGGCGGGGGTCGAGAAGTTGAGCAACAAAATATGAGGTGAATGGTGGGGAGAAACTCTGGTTGGAAGCAAATCGGGACACGAAGAGAGAGGAAGAAGTCTGAAGGTCATCAGCTGTCGGGACCAACATCACAGCCAGAAATAGCACGACCCAAACAGCCACCTATTGTATATATGGCTGCCAAAACATGGACCGGCGTTACATTACTGTGTGGAAATCCAGATCAAGAGTGCTTTATGCAGCGGATCTGGGGAGGGGAGATCAACGTATACACTGTTTTTCGCGTTCCGCGGAAATCGCTTCTGCCCATAAGACAAGGTTCAATACCTACCTACATATGTAAGAAGAGATTTTGAAGGTTAATGAGCGAGATTCCAGTCCTACATCCATCAACCACCCCTCTTGGACGTTTCACCTCTCCCTTCTCCGTCTTCCACACAAGAAAGAACTAAAACCCCTCCCCGATGAATGAAACCCTTTGCATTCCAGTGATTGTGCGCGCGATGGTCGAAACAGGCTGGATAGAGGACGAAATGTACAGATATTTATGACTGCCATATGGAAGAAGAGTACAGACCGGCTGGATAAACGGGATGCTTCAGCATCTTCCTTTGGTTCTGCTCTAGATACTCTTCTCTTTTGCTCTAACCAATGAATAGCCATCATACATACATACAGGTCCCTTATGTGCTTATCTGAATGTCCTCGGCGATGAGCTTGTACTGCTTTCTCTTTTTGGGGTGTCCAGGTCTCAGCCTCGACTTGAGTCGCCCAATGTATTTCGCCAGCAGGGGAAAGAAGTATTGCTCCGCTAGGTAGGCAACGGCAAACCCTGCCACAGCCAACACCAGCAAGAAAACTTCATAGTCCGCCGTCATCTCCGTCAGATCCATGAAATCCGCCAACCACTTGGCCGGGTCTAGAAGCATGTATAGAGAAATCAGGAGTGCCGCCACAATCGTGACGCAAAAAGGCACATTCGTCGCCAGAGACTGTCGGAATGGGGGGCCAACACTGAGGACGACACTGGAAAGTATATACTGGAAGCACGATACCAAAAACAAGGCGGTGTTTTGAGAGTTGTCGACATTGGACTTTTCTTTGTCCAGTCGCGGTGGTATGTACCATGGTTGTTGTTGAACCGTCTCGAACGCGACCAGTTGAACAAGAACCGAAAGCAAGATCTGGCCCAGCAACGGCGTCAAGACCTTTCGGGATACGAGGCTTGCGGTCGGGCGTTTCTTGCTCAGAACGGGATATGCACCAGTCCAACCCATAAATATTGCTAGTGGCAAGATTAACGCAAGATCGATGAAGAGGAATTGGAAATCTCCGAGGTTTGATGCCGACGCGTAGAGGAAGCTGACGGACGTGAACTGAATGGCCGAGTACAAGCTCATGTACTTGAAGCAGCAGAAGCTGGTCACCAAAGCGGCACGGCCTTCCTTGATCAGAGCAGGCACGCAGGAAATATCAAAAATATGGCTGGTGAACGGCGCAGCGACAGAAGCTTCAGCTTCCGAAAGTGAGACGCCAACGTCTGCAGCCTTGAGCGCGCCACAGTCATTCGCGCCATCACCACAGAATCCACAGCAGTAGTCAATGCTTTGGAGCTTTTCAACAAGCTCGTGCTTCTCGTCGGGAGACATCCGAGCGAAGACTGCGCCTTTGACGAGCATCCGCTGTAATACTTCTGTGGATGCAAAATCAATGATCCAGCGGAAAGCATCGCCAGTGACCGCCAGGGTATAATCGCCAATGGCGATTGCATCATATGGAGCCGCATTGTCGTCCTCGACTGGTAATGGCTGAGGTAGCAAAGTGTTTTCATCAAGTTGATAGATTTGATTGTCAACGCTTTCCCAGCAAATGCGTGCTCTAGCGTCCATCTTGTCTCCCTCGACGAAATGAGGAACGAAGCAGTGTGCATTGCGATCAATAATGCCGCACTCTCTCGCCACGCTAATAGCTGTGAGGATGTTGTCTCCTGTACACATGACATTGCGGATCTTGGCCTCGTTCAGTTCTTCGATGATCTCGGTGGTGATTTCCTTGAGTTTGTTTTCGAAAATGATGAAGCCGATCAGTGAAAGACGCGACTCAGCTTCAGACCGTTCCATGCTCTGAACATCGTCCCAGCTCATTCTCGAAATATATTTCGAGGCGCAGGCAATGACTCGGAAACCTTTGTGGGTGTAGTAGTTGAGCAGGTCGTCAAAGTCGTCAGGAATGCTCGATGCTGTGCAGATATCCTTCATGACCTCTGGTGCACCTTTGACGTAGATATTGACTCCCGGGTCACAGTGCTGCCGCACGATGACACTGGCTCGTCGCAAATGCGAGGCGAATTCGAAAGAACGCAAGATGCCCAGTTCCACCCGCACCGGGTTCTCGTTGTCCTGAGAATCTTCCAAATCATACTCGAATCCATGTGGAGGACGTGCCACACTGGGTGCTGTTTGATGGGTTCCAGCTTCGATAAAATGGCTCGTGTTACGAGAACCCTCCTCGAATGACCACTCTGTAAATTGAAACATTTTGAGATCAAGAGGGTCGCCAATCAGTTCGTCGTCGACCATTCGAAGGGAGTGACAAGTAGCCATTGAGTAGAGCATGTTTTTATTCACCCGGTAGTCGACCGTCGGATCACGGTCGTAGGACGCTGGAGGAAGAAGTTCACGTGCCCCCTCCAGAATGTCGCCGAAGCGGATTTCCGGATGTTGTACAAGCCGGACACCAAGTACATCGAGGCCGTCTTCGGTCAGTGTCCCAGTCTTGTCGAAACAGACAACATCCAGTTTGCCGGCAACATTGACTCTCTGTGGACTGATGCAGAAGATCTGTTGTTTTCTGAGGCGTGCCAGCGCAAAGTTTGTTCCGATCGTCAGAGTGGCTGGTAGAGCGGGAGGCACCACGATCGTGATGAGATCCAATGCTCTGACAATGATCAAGTGCCAAGCGAGACCGAGCTTGACAAAATTGATGAATGAAGCAATGAATCCGACCGCGGCGATCATGCCCATCACCGAAATGTACCGGAATGAATCACGGTAGAACTTGAAGCCTGATGGCTTAGGGAAGAGCATGGACCGCACAAGGGCACCTTTGGTTGTGTTGAATCCAGTACGAACCACCATAGCAAGAGCAACGGCTTCGTCGTCCTCAGTATCTTGCGGGCGTCTGGCACGAATGATCTTCGTGCCGCAGAATAGGAAGTGACGAGCTACACTCGGATGGATTGATGTTGCACCAAGATCAATGTACGGCAGTGCCTCGTCGGTGATAGGAATTTTTGATACGGGGATAGATTCGCCTGCGAAGTTAGCTAGGTGAGAGGGAACGGCCTTTGAAGCTTACCGGTGAGCATGCTTTCGTTGATGATACAATCGCCTGCAAGGAGCAGACTGTCACAAGGAAGCTGTGCAAGAGACGGGTCAGAGACCTCATACACGTCCCCTGGGACAAGATCACTAGAAAGCGCAGAACGCCCTAAGTCTGGATCAGTACCAGTCTGGCTCTCACGTCACAAGAACTTACAGAAGCCGTTACGGAGCACACGAACGTCGCACTCAAAGCGCGAAATTTCCCTCAGTCGTCGCATTGTCTGCGAACACATCAGTATCTTCAGTGACTCGAGCTAGAATCACAATAGCATTTACCGAACGAGTCTCGACAACCGTGGTAGTGATGGAGAAGACCGAAATAAGGAATATTGCCGCAGCATAGTAGTAGTACTCGTCCATTGACCAGAGAATGAGGCTGGCGACCTGAAAGATGTAAAAGGGGTGAAAAGCCTTGCCAAAAGTCAGTGCTCGAAGGATAATCGAAACAAGGATCGCCAAACCTCGTCGAGCAGTAACTCTGGGATGGTCTTTTGTTGAATTTCAATCATATTCTTGCCAAAGACTTGGTCTCTTGGGTCTCTTTCCTCAGTGTCAAGGCCCTCCCGAAGAGCTTTGACAGACACCCATTGCGGATCCCACCAGTCGTTGTTCAAGACGAATTTATCCTCAACCGGGTAATATAGAAGCCTCATGTACCTGTAGTCAAGATACCGCAGGTGCCGCAACTCCGCGTCGTTGTCGTATCGATATCCATTGAGCTTTTCCTTGCCGGAGCGTGTGAAAACGGTCGACATGGGATGGCCATAGTCCTCGGAAACCACATAATGAACGGTAAATTCACCCCATTGATTCTGAAATCTCTTAGCCTTCTTCTTGGGACGGTGTCGCTCTGGGCCATAGCTCACCTCTACGACAACCCAAGAGCACTTTCTGAGGGGTGCTGGAGATCCAACGAGAGATATGCGCCACCTAGGCACCCAGCGAAAGACCAGATATCCAATGCCCGCGGTGAAGACACAGATCGCCAGATAGGCCAGATAGCCGATAGTGGACGTCATAAACCCAGCAATGGCCATGGTTAGGTCCTCATTTTCAATGTATAGTTTTTGACTGAAGTTGCCGCCATCCTCGTGTTTCTGGGTGTCACTCCTCGCCGAATCGTGCCTATAAAGGAGAGGCTGGTCTGCCGATGTCCGATATCTGCCTGAACTCTTGCGGCGGGCGGTATCGGACTCGAGGCCAGCCTCCAAGTCTCGGTCCTCATCGGGTATGTGGCCCTGCTCTTCGTCGCTTTCGACAGCTTCTTCGTCCGAGAAAACGTTCGGCGATTCTTGGTCTTGCTCTGTGAAGTACGTGAACGAACTGATCGACCCAGCTCGCCTTCGAGGTAGCCTATACGCAAATCCCGTCACGGAAGAGGGTACAGATTCCGCTATACAACCAGGTCAATGCTTATCCACCATGCGACAACTGTTGGGCGGAATACTTACATATGGGCCCCGAAAACACATCAGTGGTCGACATCTCCACATCGCTGACGATACTTGCAGTGCTCAAGTTCGAATCTCTTCTGTGCATTCTTCCAGCACTCGAGCTCCTCCTGGAGGGGCGTCGAGGTGCGCCCTCATGTTGGGAGCTGCTGTCCATGGTGTGAAGTGCCACTGGCACAATGTTCGCTCGCGTCTCAGCTCATGCTTGACTCGGATAAGACAAGGGCGACACTGGGTGATGGGTGGTTTGGTGCAGTTACAGCATGCATAGATATGAATGTCATTGGGGGCCAAACATGGAGAGGTATGATGTAGGCATGATGCGGGCAGATGTGAAGTTTTCCGCAGCCTTTCCACCCTCAATGGCAACCCCTCGCCTAGGGCACTTTCTCTCTCTTCCATTTACCAAAATATTCCTACATTTACGAAACATTTGATGGTTAGGGAATACTGCATGTAGTCTACAAGGGGTTTTGCCAGAATAAATTCGTCTCGAACATTTGCTGTAGACAACCGATAGCTGGGATTTATTTCGACGCAGGTCACTGCAGGGGTTGCGCACTGCGCACTTTGGCACTCAACTGAATTAATACGGTGCAGCGGTGCAGTGGCACTGCGCTAGTTCCCCCACCAGCAAAGCGTGGGACTCGGAGGCAAAACTGATTTATTGCCTGTGCATTTCACACGGCCTGACCAAAAATCTTCAATCCTTCACTCAATTTTCTCTGCTCTTGTCACCCTCGTTCGTTTCGGAAGAAAGGAACCATCTGCTACCAATCCCCCCGGGAGTCGTCTTCGGAGTGTCTCTTCGACAGCCACGGAATCGCCAGCCGGAAAGCTCTCAAAAGGCCCAACGTCAACTCAACGTTTACATTTCTCGCCCAACAAGCCACGAAACTCAACCTCAGACCGCACCCCTTGAACTGAGAGCAAAATGGCCGAAATACCAAAGGCACGAAATCTGACCGCGCCTACACCGCAGAACAGTATGTCTTCACCGTTCGCTAGATGTTGCATGTTACTCACCGTCCTTCAGCGCCTGCATCAAATGCGCCGATTTCCTCACACGCCGCTGCTCCTAACGTGAGCTCTATCGCCGAAGGTAAGGGAAATGGAAGAACAAAAAAATCATCTCTGCTCGGACATTACGTTGACCCGTCACAGAGGATCTCGAGCGTGTTTCCGCTGCCTCAATACTTGCAAACAACCCCGCTCTTGTCTCCATGATGCAGCAAAAGCTCGGTTCCCTTGTCGGCCGATCTTCAGGATACGTCGAGTCCTTGCCAGCTCCCGTCCGCCGTCGTGTCACGGGATTGAAGGGCATCCAAAAGGACCACGCCAAGTTGGAGTCAGAATTCCAAGAAGAGGTCCTCCAGCTTGAGAAGAAATACTTTGCCAAATTCACTCCACTCTACCAGAAGCGCGCTGCTATTGTCAACGGCGAGGTGGAGCCCACCGATCAAGAAGTCGAGGCTGGCAAAGCCGAGGAGGAAGAAGAACCCGAAGAAGATTCAGACAAGGAGGAGAAGACGGCTGCAGAGGACATGAAGGGCATCCCGGAGTTCTGGCTCTCGGCTATGAAGAACCAGATTTCGCTTGCCGAGCTGATCACGGACCGCGACGAAGAAGCCCTCCGCTCCTTGACCGACATCCGCATGGAATACCTCGATCGCCCAGGGTTCCGCTTGATCTTCGAGTTTGCCCCCAATGATTTCTTCACCAACAAGACCATTTCAAAAACATACTATTACCAAGAGGAGAGTGGTTACGGTGGCGACTTCATCTATGATCACGCCGAGGGCGACAACATCGACTGGAAAGCGGGCAAGGATCTTACTGTCCGTGTTGAGAGCAAGAAGCAACGAAACAAGAGTAAGCCATGTCCTTGCTCCGAGAGGCCAATCACTAACCATTTGGTATAGCCACCAAGCAGACCCGAGTGATCAAAAAGACCGTCCCCACAGAGTCATTCTTCAACTTTTTCTCGCCACCTGCTGCCCCAGGGGAAGGAGACGAGGTTGCTTCAGACATCGAAGAACGACTCGAGCTTGATTATCAACTGGGCGAAGACATCAAAGAGAAACTGATTCCTCGTGCCATCGATTGGTTCACTGGTGAGGCATTGGCCTACGAGGAATTCGAGGATGCCGAAGACGCCGAGTTCGACGATGAGGACGATGAAGATGACGAGGATGAGGAAGAAGCCGAGTCTGACGAAGACGACGAGGAAGAAGGGGGAAAGCCTCGGTCCCAACAAACTTCAGAATGTAAGAACCAGTAAATGGAGCCAGGCAGCCCTTGTGATGAATCTACAATCTGGGTAGATGTGCTTTGCGAGCAGCAGGCGAGCGGGTCTATGTGATGTTGTCGAGAGCAGCAGATCCGAAGGACACGGTCCCAGTCCTTGAGATCGGGTCCCGTGCTGACCCGCTCCACGCATAACGGGCGTTCTGAGAATGATGCTGTGATGATCGATTCGTCGATAATAGGTGGAAGGGCACAGTGGGCGACTCAAGTCCAACGGCGTCCTTCTACAAGTCTCTAGATGAATTTGCGGTTCCAAGTTTGAAGACGGCGTTCATGGGTACCATCACAATCGAGAAGAGCAACAGGTTTCCTTGTATTCATTCCGTGACAATGCCAGTCCAGTATTCCCCTAATACCACATTTGGACATAACAACAATTTTTGCTTCGAGCAGGAGGTCTATATAGGCAACGCAATCAAAAGGGCGAATTGGTTCGCGCATGTAGGATGTGGCATGGGCGCAGGTGCTCATCTTGTTTGCTGCAACTAAGATCTGTGTAATGTCCCGTTTGAGACCGTCTGGGGGAAGATCTTTGGAAGACGCAAGGAAGGCTGCCACAAGCGTCTCGGGGCCAACCCTCGAGGATGCAGATATTGTACCGAGCACACCGTAGTGTGGAAAAAAAAAAGGGGGTTGCCACTTTGTGATGCCCATTAGCGCACGAGCAGTGGGCGTGCGGACAATTTCTGAAGGGTCTTGGTGGATGCTGAACTGGTGCCAGGGGGTTGAGGGTGAAGCTCACGCTTGTGATGAACAGGGAAAGGCGTCAGATGACGAGTGGCTTGCCGGAAGAACAGCGACGGCCGTTTGGTTTCTTTGGGGCCTCTGGCTGTGGGCTTCGGGGCTAGTGAGGCTAACCAGTTGCTGGCTGGGGCTTGTGGTTGTGCTTGGGACGCATGGGGGAGCGCGTCTCGTAGACGACCGAGTCCCTGAGAAACTTTCTGACATCTCGCAGGTCAACTGAGTGTCTCGCCCAAGAATTCACAGCCGCACCTAAGACCCCAGACCGTTATTGTCGACGGTCAGGTCAACACTACATTGATCTTACTTTGATTCCATCTCTCATCTGTGAAGCCGAAGATTCCACACATCTTTAAAATCTTGTCGCTCCTTTCCACGCCAGGAGAGCGGCAAGCATCTCCCCCGTGTGTCTGAACACGTCTATCCCTCCACCAGATTCTCCTCCCAGTCTCCGAATACATGGCTGCCCTCGTCTCTGACAGTTGAGAGCCTCTATCCATAAAGTCCATCAGCAACCGCCCACGATGGCGAGTTGGGAGATTGGCACTCGGGCTTGGTTCCCTAACCAGACCGAGGGCTTCATTCCCGGTGAGCTCACGGAGAGAAAAGATCTGGGTGATGGGAAGATCGCCCTTGTCTTCAGTCTCTCCGATGAGTCCAAGCAAACAGTCGAGACGACCGAGACTGCCCTCCTCGACACCCATAATGCATCCTTACCTCCGCTCATGAACCCTCCCATGTTCGAGGCAGCCGAAGACTTGACCAATCTGTCCCATCTTAATGAGCCGGCCATCCTGCAGGCAATCAAGCTCCGATATGCGCAGAAAGAAATATACACCTACAGCGGGATTGTGCTGATAGCGACCAACCCTTTTGCGCGGGTGGACTCACTGTACGTCCCTCAGATGGTGCAGGTGTACGCTGGCAAGCAAAGAGCATCGCAAGCACCCCATCTGTTTGCAATTGCGGAAGAAGCCTATACGGACATGTTGCGGGACTCGAGGAACCAGACGGTCGTCGTTTCCGGCGAGTCGGGTGCCGGGAAAACAGTCAGTGCCAAATACATCATGCGGTACTTTGCGACCCGAGGGGCCCCAGGCCAGGCCAGCAAGGGCACAAAAGCACGAGCAGACGCCATCAGTGAGACCGAAGAGCAGATCCTGGCTACCAACCCGGTCATGGAAGCCTTCGGCAATGCCAAAACGACGAGAAACGACAATTCTTCACGATTTGGAAAATACATTGAAATCATGTTTGACCAGAACACCGACATCATTGGGGCCCGGATAAGGACGTATCTGCTTGAGCGATCACGACTTGTCTTTCAGCCATTGAAGGAGAGAAATTACCACATCTTCTACCAACTTGTAGCGGGAGCAACAGAAGAAGAGAAACAAGAGTTGGGCCTGGTTCCCGTGGAAGAGTTTGACTATCTGAATCAAGGCAATGAGCCGACGATTGACGGCGTCGACGACGCCGCGGAATTTGCAGCCACAAGGAAGTCCTTGACCACAATTAACGTCTCCGAGGCCACTCAAAGAGAGATCTTCCGGGTTCTCGCCGCTCTCCTGCACATTGGAAATATCAAAATCACCGCCACGCGTTCGGACTCTAGCCTTTCCGCCAGTGAGCCATCAGTGGTCCGCGCCTGCGCCATACTGGGTATCGACGCGACGGACTTTGCCAAATGGACGGTCAAGAAGCAGCTCATTACGCGCGGGGAGAAAATCACCTCCAATCTGACGCAGCAACAGGCCACCGTCGTGCGCGATTCCGTGGCCAAGTTCATCTACTCTAGCCTGTTCGACTGGCTGGTGGAAACCATCAATCACGGTCTCGCGACCGAGGATGTCCTCCAACGGCTGAATACCTTCATCGGTGTGCTGGATATTTACGGCTTTGAGCATTTTGCGAAGAACTCTTTCGAACAGTTTTGCATCAACTACGCCAACGAAAAGCTGCAGCAGGAATTCAACCAGCATGTGTTCAAACTTGAGCAGGAAGAATACATGCGTGAAGAGATCGACTGGACTTTTATTGATTTTTCGGATAATCAACCATGTATCGATCTCATTGAAGGCAAACTGGGTATTTTGTCTCTGTTGGACGAGGAATCTCGACTTCCCATGGGGTCGGATGAACAATTTGTTCACAAACTGCATCATCATTTTGCGGCAGACAAGCAGAAATTCTACAAGAAACCGAGATTTGGCAAATCAGCATTCACGGTTTGTCATTATGCGCTCGATGTTACCTACGAGTCCGATGGCTTCATTGACAAGAACCGCGATACTGTGCCGGATGAGCAGATGGAAGTGCTTAAGAAGTCTACAAATGCCTTCTTGGTTGACGTGCTGGACGTTGCTGCGGCGGTGAGAGAAAAGGACACCGCTCAGACATCCTCGAAAACCGTCGCCCCTGGAGGCGGCCGCCGAGTCGGCGTCGCTGTTAATCGCAAACCAACTCTGGGAGGCATCTTCAAGAGCTCTCTCATTGAACTCATGCAAACCATCAACTCCACCGATGCGCACTACATTCGGTGTATCAAGCCCAACGAGGCAAAAGAGTCGTGGAAGTTCGAAGGACCGATGGTGTTGAGTCAGCTGCGTGCCTGTGGTGTTCTGGAAACCGTCCGCATCAGTACTGCCGGCTACCCAACACGGTGGACCTACGAAGAATTTGCTCTCAGGTACTACATGTTGTGCCGGTCGAATGAATGGACGACCGAGATCCGTACCATGGCCCAAAATATTCTTGTCAAAGCCCTAGGAAAGACCGCCCACGAGAAATCTGACAAGTACCAACTCGGTCTGACGAAGATTTTCTTCCGCGCGGGCATGTTGGCCTTTTTAGAGAACCTTCGTTCGGCTCGTTTGAAGGAATGTGCCATCATGATCCAGAAGAACTTGCGGGCCAAATACTACCGGCACAAGTACCTGGATGCCCGACAGTCAATTCTCAACTTCCAGGCTGCTACACGCGCATTCTTGGCTCGAAGAAGAGCCGAAGAGACAAGACAGACCAAGGCGGCGACCGACATTCAAAGAGTGTGGCGAGGACAAAAAGTGCGCAAAGAATATACGCAAATCAGGAGCGACCTCATTCTATTCGAATCCATTGCTAAAGGCTACCTTTGCAGGAAGAATATCCTGGAGACTCGCATTGGAAACGCCGCGGTCGTCATCCAACGGGCTTTCCGTTCGTGGCGAGCATTACGTGTTTGGAGGCAATACCGCAGAAAGGTCGTCATTATACAGAACTTGTGGCGTGGCAGAGTCGCCCGGCGCGACTATAAGAAGATGCGCGAAGAGGCTCGGGATCTCAAACAGATCTCTTACAAACTTGAAAACAAGGTCGTCGAGCTTACGCAGTCTCTCGGCGCGCTCAAGCGAGAGAACAAGTCCTTGGTGTCGCAATTGGAGAACTACGAAAATCAACTGAAATCTTGGAGGTCGCGGCACAATGCTTTGGAGACGCGGTCGCGTGAGCTTCAGAGCGAGGCGAACCAGGCTGGTATTGTAGCAGCACGCTTGGCTGCCTTGGAAGAAGAACATGCCAAATTGCAAACGAGCCATGATGAACATATGGGCAACGCGAAGCGCTTGCAAGAAGAAGAGCGCAAGCTCCGGGAATCGCTAAAGGTTTCCAATGCAGAGCTCGAGACATTGCGACAATCCGTGTCCACGCATGAAAGTGAGAGGGGCACTCTACGACAACAGATCAACGAATTGCAGGATCAGCTTGAGATTGCCCGACGAGCGCCACCTCCGGCAGCAACAAACGGCGTCAACGGCGAATATACCAACGGCACATCTCAACTTGCAAACGGCCTTATCAACCTCGTCTCTTCTAAGAAGCCTCTCAAGCGGCGTAGTGCAGGGGCAGCCGAACGAAGCGAACTGGATAGGTATAGTGCAGCATATAGCGCACGTCCTGTTTCGATGGCGATCGACTCTCACACCAAGACTTTGTCTGGCTCTACGTTCAACCCCGGTTTGGATAGTGTCGAGATGGAGCTCGAGAACCTTCTCGCACAGGAAGAAGAGCTCAATGACGAAGTCACCATGGGTCTTATCCGAGGCATCAAGATCCCTCAACCAGGCGCCAACCCTGCGCCCACAGACAAAGAGGTCCTGTTCCCCTCGTACCTCATCAATTTGGTAACGTCAGAGATGTGGAACAACGGCTTCGTCAAGGAATCGGAGCGCTTCCTCGCCAACGTCATGCAGTCCATACAGCAAGAGGTGATGCAACATGAAGGTGACGAAGCGATCAATCCTGGGGCATTCTGGTTGTCGAATGTGCACGAGATGTTGTCGTTTGTCTTCCTCGCCGAAGACTGGTATGAGGCGCAGAAGACGGACAACTACGAGTACGACCGACTACTGGAAATTGTCAAGCACGATTTGGAATCCCTCGAGTTCAACATCTATCACACGTGGATGAAAGTGTTGAAGAAGAAGCTGCACAAGATGATTGTGCCGGCCATCATCGAATCACAGTCGCTGCCCGGATTCGTCACCAATGAAAGCAACCGTTTCCTGGGCAAACTGCTGCCCTCGAACAATACTCCCGCCTATAGCATGGACAACCTCCTGAGCCTCCTGAACAACGTGTTCAAGGCCATGAAAGCGTATTATCTCGAAGACAGCATCATCACCCAAACCGTGACTGAGCTCCTCCGTCTTGTGGGCGTGACGGCGTTCAACGATCTGCTGATGCGTCGCAACTTCCTGTCGTGGAAACGTGGTCTGCAGATCAACTACAACATCACTCGGATTGAGGAGTGGTGCAAGTCTCACGACATGCCTGAGGGCACTCTTCAACTCGAGCATCTCATGCAGGCTACCAAGTTGCTCCAGCTCAAAAAGGCTACGCTCAATGACATCGAAATCATTCAGGACATCTGCTGGATGCTGTCACCTAATCAAATCCAGAAGTTGCTCAACCAGTATCTCGTCGCCGACTATGAACAGCCCATTAATGGTGAGATTATGAAAGCCGTCGCGTCGAGGGTGACGGAGAAGAGCGATGTCCTGTTGCTCGCTCCCGTCGACATGGAAGACAGTGGACCCTATGAGATTGCTGAGCCGAGAGTCATTACCGCGCTGGAGACGTATACTCCATCATGTAAGTGATCTGCCGCTTTCCCCCCAAGACTACTCGACATTGTACTGACATGGGAAATCAATAGGGCTCCAGACGCCACGTCTTAAACGGCTGGCGGAAATCGTGTCCGCGCAAGCCATGGCTCAGCAAGAACAGGGAGGCATTCCCGACGGGGCGATTGGGGAACCCGAAGCCATGATGGCGCAGTGAAGGGGTCGACTTGGTCCCGGCACGGCCCCGGGATAAACTTCGTCGCGGAGGCGAGAATCAAAAGCAACGTTTCTGATGATTACATGTGGAGGAAACAGCCACCTAATCCATGATTGGTTGGCATCTATGATCTCGACATTGAGCGAGGGGGAGACAAAGCTAGAGTTTCAGGAGCCTCGTCATGGACATGTTTCTCGGCCGGGGAAGCAGAGGCAACCAAAGCCGAAGCGAGTAATTATACACACCTTTTTTGGGCATAGCACTGCGGAGTTTTTCCTCGAGCACTTGGGCCTCCTGTGCTTCTGAGGGAGGAACCTTGCTAATTTTTGGGCGCGGCGTTTTCTGCGGCTTCTGTATCTCTCTCTCTCCCTCCCTCTCTCTCTCTGACTATGGTCAATGTTAATGTCGGGGTGGAGCAGTAAGAGGCAGAGGAATCAGACTCGATGTCTCAGTCCTTTTTTGTTCTCTTCCCATTGTCGTCATCATCGTGACTGTCTTTGACCCACTGGTACGTGATACATTGATCCGATATTACTCAGGTTAGGGCCCCGTGTAGAAACAAACACTACACCGCTAGTAGTGTAGATCAGCTTTCGGCGGAAAATTCCTCGAGAAGCTGGGTTCGGGGAGGGTTGTTCGCAGCCGCCGTGTGCGGAAAAAGCAACCACACCGGCATCCCAGAGATATTCGAATGACCCTTCTCCGTAGTCGACGGGCCGCTTGAGAAGTATTAGGAGGAGGTAGTCAGCCTGCTATGCCTGGAACGAAAGGTCCAAAATGGTAGAGGCACTTGATAGAGGGCGGGCTATTTCAAACCTGGTGTTAGCGCGACATGACGAGTTGAGGAGAGCCCACTCTGTGCGTTACTAAACGTTGACCATATGGGAATGGTATGAAATCCAGGATATCCTCATGGCAAATCATCAAACTAGCGTACTTCCCCCAGACCCTCTGCGGTTGTGGACTTTGCCGATCGTCCACTTGCCACGTTTCTTCTCGCAGCACTCGCTGAGGCATATCCGCCACCTGGGCGGTTCCTTTCTGACGTACTCTGGAAAACATTCGACTCCAAGTTTCAACTGGTGGAGGCATCCGGAATCCCTTGGTCAGAAGTCCGCATGGATAAGTCTGAATTCAATACCTTTCAAGATATAGAGTCCAAGCCTCTTATAATATGGACCCTTCGCCTAGCAGTTTTGAGGGAAACACGTACTTTTATTGGATGTCACGAGGAATAAACACTTTTGAGACGGGCGGACGGACTAACCCTAAAGTGCTTCCATGACAATTTGGAAACAAATTCCCAGACATGTGACTTTTTCAAATGCTTTATGATCAGCATCTTCAACAGACAGAACAATGAACCTCTTACCGCCCGATCCTTTAGCTTTCACAGGACCATTTCCCCTCGCCGATCTAGCGCCACAATATATGACGCGAGAACAAATCGAGTCGGTGGTTGCGCACGCTCCGAAGCTCTTTCAGACCGGCGGAGATTTGCCTAACGATGGAGATATTCCTGCAAAGGCTGTTGCTCGCGTTTCAAACGGTGCTGTCGTCAAATACGGTACCCGGATTTCCCTGGGTGACCGTCAAGCTAACGAGTCTGTGTATATTGTCATGCAATACGTACCTGGAAAAACCCTAGCTCACACAATCGAGGATCTGGACGAAGAGCAAATCCGGGATCTCGCCAACCAGCTAATACGCATACTTACCACACTCCACACAGTTCATCACACAGTACCGGGCCCAGTGGGTGGCGGTCGTGTAATGGCACCACGACTCTTCACAACCAGTGGTGTAGGCCCGTTTTACTCTCTTCAAGATCTCATCGATTGGTTCAATAAGTGTTTGAAGATATGTCACTCTTTTGGCAGGGTAAGTAGGCAGTAACCTTTCGACGAAGACATCAAAGATTTGGTCATGTGTCACATGGACGTTCATCTTCGTAATCTTCTGGTGGACGACTCGGGCAAGCTCTAGTTAATAGACTGGGACTGTGCGGGATTTTATCCACAGTTCTTCGGGTATATCTACTTAAAAAGCTATGCGGAATTCATGCCGATAGGCATGAAGAGCGCAGCAGGTATGAAATTCCTTCAAGCCGTGGTTGATGCAATAGAGACGTTAGAGACCCGGAGGATGAATGCCAAGTTCAACGCAATTGGTTATGTATGCTCTCAGAAAATGACTTGCACGATATGAGCGACACATTGATACTGCTTCTAGTCAATACGCATAACACGAATGCACAAGGCGAGGACGGGAAACGAGATCTGGAGGAGGTTTTCATCGACACCGGGCCCGAAGTTGCCATCTACTGCGCCATGAGGCAAGACGAGCGTTGGGCCCCATACTTCAATCCTGCAACTCTATCTCCTACAGGAGGCCTTGAAAATGGTCCACCGAGGCAGGCGACGAAGGAGGAGGCAGTAGACTACACGACGACGCTTTCGACACCAGTACTCCCGCCAGAGGCCATGGCAGCAACGAGTGCAGTGGCATAGGTTCAGACGCACCGGCCGCTGTTGGCCAAATCCACGACGTCTTCGCCGAATTTGAGGACACGTTCGGCCTGGCTAGGTGGATACGGAAGACGACGGTTGCGTCCCCGCGGGACTGCCCACATCTGATGATTCCTTGTCGAACATCAATAGTAGTGATGCATCATGGAGTTCGGAGGCTGTGGCGTGTGCTCCAGGTTGTACATGACTGACTCCCTTTCCGCCTGGGCAGCAAAACCGCAACCTTGCACCCTTCATCATGACAGCTTCGCATGCTGGAGCTCTCTTTTTCCTGTTACAGTATGCTCTAGCTATGAGCCGCGATGGCCCTTATTACCTCCGAGGCCCTTCAAAACCACCCCGTCGGAAGAGCTCTGGATCTCTTTCGCGACGGGTGCAACTTGACTTGTGAGAAACTGGGACTTCCACCGTCAACAGATGCTCTTGGACACGTTGTTGACAAAGCTAATCAATTTCCGCAAGATCGGTACCGTTCACTCCATTCCAATATTCTCTACACAGCCGTCCTTGCGTGAAACCACCTACATCCTGGTAGCGAAGGGGCAATTGCTGTTCAGCGTCCTGCCCGCATGAGTCTACTTGCAGGAGGGAAGGGGAACCTGGTTGTTCAGTCCTCGTGAAAGTCCTGGGCTCGGCGTTTTGGAGCTACCACTCCCAGCGCATGAGGCCGATAGGGAATAGCACTTGCAAAGAAGTCGAAGTTCGAGCAATATGCTGGGAAAACTTGGTGTCTTGAAAACAACCAGGGAACGACTCATCAGCTCATCATTCACTACGCTGAGATCATGACATGGCTTCTCTCGCGCTCTCATGCCTCGCGCATCTTCTTCCTTTTCAACGGGACTAGGCCAATCGCTGTTACATGCAGCCCGGAAACTCAAGTGACAAGAGGATCGAGGGTTGCACTGGGTATTGGTCCGAAGACCGTTGGTGCCTTTTGCGTCTCTGTTTGCGTATGACCACATGGAGTGGAAGGTTTATTTACGAGGGGCCCATCCCATTCTTAAACCCATATCCTAGCAGACGCAGTAGCTCGCCCTTCCATGCTCTCCAAGTCCTCGACAATGAGCGGCCCTATGCTTCGCCCGGCTAAAGACATCCAACTGATTTTGAAGCTCCGCTGTGGACCAAATCGCCCGAGAAGGAGGGTTACTTTGATATATTGACGCGCATAATATCCCTCGACTCGCCAAATTCCTTTCTTCGAGAGAACACCGGCAACTGTAGCTCCGCGATTCATCATCTTTTCTCTTATGCGGAAAATCAAAAGAGTACCGTCCTTGAAAGCGTCGTGATCCGTGGTTAGATTTAACTAAGAATGACAGAGATGTCGCATCTCAGTTCACAGTTCAATGACTCGAGTAACTTTGATGCGGTTTTTTTTTTTTTTTTTTTTTTTTTGTGACTTTTTGTGAAAATCTCTGCAAACAAGACTGAAAATAGTCTCTTGTCGATGTCAACTTCTGTATTTCCTGTCGAAGTTGTTCAGTCTCTCGATCCTTTCGATCTACTTCCTCTTGAGCATTTGTGGCCTGATTACGCAGCAATAGCACCTCTTCAGCGAGCTATTTGGTTTTCAGCTTGCAATTGCTCAGTTAACAGACTAGGTTCCAGCTCTAGTTCTGACGACCGTGGCCGCTACGGACATGTAGTCAGCCTCGCGATTGGGATATTATAGACCAGAGATCTTCCACCTCACTAGGTATATAATCATAGCGGTATTTTATACTAGTGGATACTGTGTGGTTTGGTCTCCACTGTTATTCCTATCCGCGTGGGGGGCGATGGGGGATCCACTTGATCGACGCCAATTCCCCGTATCAATGTCTCCTTATACCGAGTACTCTACCTGCCACGTGCCTACCGTGCCAGCGTGCCTACCAGCCAGCATGTATAATCGATCTCCATTGCCGGAGTGGGGATTGTACCATTTGCGTGAGCCCCCATGTTATTGACACTCTCGCAGAGATAAATATATTCAAGCACGAGCTTTAAATTGTTTTATTTACCAAAATACACAAATGATTCAAAACCCCCCTTTTCCAGACAACAGGAATTTCAGGAGAAAGGGCTACGAGGAGGGTACCTAGAATAGCCAAATGCTGGTGGTGGTGGTGGTGGCTTAATACTCTTCTTCTCCCAGACCGGGTGCGTCCCAGTTCGCGCGCAACAGCACCCGCAGGTCGTCGCGCCAAAAGAACTTCTGGCCCAGGCACTCGAGGTCCCACCAGGCCCAGTCGCGCAGCTCCGGCAGGGCGTCGCGCATCTTGGCCAGCAGCCGGGCGCCGTCGGCCGACAGCTCGGGCGAGTTCTGGGCCATGGCCCACGAGTCGATGGCGACGAGCCAGATCCAGATCAGGCAGTCGCGCTCGGTGCGGGCGCTGGAGACCCTGAACGCGGGCAGCCGGGCCGTCAGCTGCGTCGTGGCCGAGTGGTAGATGCACGCCTTGGGCCGGAGCCGGTTGGCCCGGTTGGCGCAGTAGCGGAACAGGGCGAGGCAGATCATCTTCTCCAGCGACGGACCCCCGGGCCCGTCCGGCGTGCGGAACGCCGTGCACGCGTCCCAGAAGTTCCACGCCTGGCCCGCCACGGGGCGGTAGACCTTTGTGCGCTCCTTGCCTTGCTTTTCCCGGTAGGTCGCGTCCTGCGGGCTCCAGTCCTGCTTGACGCTGATCCTGTGGATGATCTGGAGCGTCTCGGACGAGAGGACCCCCGCCCGAGCGAGATTGCGGAACCCGCACGGCAGCTTGTCGATGATCTTGACGTCGTCCTCGAACCGGAACCGGGGCGCTTGTCGTATCACCAACAACTTCTCCGTCGCAGGTTCGCTCGTTGGCGAGTCGGTCGGCTGGTCACCGGAGAGGGAGAGAAGTCTGTCGAGGAAATCAGTGTCAGAGGTGCAACCCGGCAATGTTTATCACGGTATAGAGACGGCCATCTATCTGAACACCGAGATAGCACAGGCGCTTACACTGTCAAGGTCGCCCGAGCCGAACTGTCCACCCCCAGGCAGTCGACGCCGCCTCGCGACGCCACCATCTGGTCGACCTGGGCGCGATGGGCCTTGAAGGCCGCGTCGTTTCCAAGCCCTCGCTCAAACATGGCCAGGTACAGGATCGTCAGAATGGCACCGTCGTCGGCCCGGGCGTTGGGTTTCGCCAGCCTGGCCCTCAGCTTGGACATGGCCTGTCCCGCATGGACAAAGGCATCTTGTGGCAAGAGAGATCCGGGGCACGCGATGGCGGTGTGAGCCACTTTGGTCAGGCCGAGTATGACGTGGAAGAAGTCCTCGTATTTGGCCATATTCTCGAGGACCCACTGCCCATAGACATTGACGACGTTGAAGGCTTCGTTGATCGACGCCACTGCAGTCACCCATCAGCCTTTGTCTGAGCTCATCTCACACGCATAGAGGTTCTGCCATGTCAATATAGCTTCTCCTCAAAAGGGGACAACCCACCCGTTGGCATGACATAGTGTATAACTGGACTCATGTTAGAGACCGGATGTTTGAGACCGAAGTTCCAGACACTTACGGAAGTCGATAGCGAGCGAGGCACCATAACGATCATATCCAGGAATACAATCGAATGGGTCAACTCGTGCCCCCCTTGTCCAATGCCACGGGCCTGGCGACGTCAATTCCTGCTCGAACTTGCCATGTCGAGCCATTGAGTCCATCCCAGGCCCTTCAGGCTCGGTCTTGTACCGGTTGGTGTCGTTGTCTGGGGCCACAAGTCGTCCAATGCTCATTGTCTTGGTATCCTGCTCCTCTTCCGCCAACAGCTGCTCAATCCGGATTCGAGGCGAGTGGGAACACAGGTTGTCTCCGTCGTACGATGGAGCCCATCCAATCTGCTTGCCGGGAGCCGTTGGGGTGCCCCGGTGACCGAGACAATGCGGATATGTCGGTGGAGACCAGCAATGCTTGTTCAACACAATCGTGTTGGCATTGTTTCGATGCCTGAACTTGGCTGCGTGTGAGCGTGCTTTGGACCGAAGGAGCTCATAGTCGTTCCGCGACCGACTTTTGTCGGGGACATAGGGGATATACGACAAGTGAATGGGCATGGCCTGACGGGAATACTTTGTGATCCCAACTCAACGTCGGTCTGTATGAGGTCGGAGATGATGTCGAGCGATCTTGGTGTGTTTCGTCCGGTTCGTTGAAGCTTATACGCACGATCGAGACACACCGCGGCCGCTTCTCCGCCAGTAGCAGATCCTCCACCCTCCAGAGAGGAATCGATTCTGCAGCACCATTGTGGTTCTAGAGCGATTGCGGGCAATCTCTTGACGAGTTAAGTTCTTCGCTAGAGAAAAGCTTCGCCGAAGGATCGATGGAGGATGCCCGAGCGAATGAAGATGCATGTCGTGTTGGTACCCCAGAGAACGAGCGAACGAACGAGCCGACGCATCGTCGAGGGTGGAATGACACTCGACTGGTGCACCTGTTGAACCGATCTCTGAACTTCGGCATGCGGCATCCCTCAACCCACCTCCTTCTGGATCCGGCATTGGGTTTGTGGGTTGAAAAGGTAGAAGAAAGTCAACCGGCTTGCCTTCAGTGATGATCAGGATCCAACTGACAAACCCGGAACTCGTTGACTTGGGGGTCGGAAGTAAGCGGTTGGGCGGTTAGTAATCGCCTAGTTGATGGGCTGTCATGCCGGTGCAAGCATGATGGATGTGGCTTGTCTCGAAGCAGTTTGAGGGTCAGGGTCAGGGTCGTCGTCGGATGCTGTATACCGTAATAAGGAACAGTATTGGTGTTGGAGGAGGTGGTCCCAGCCTGAAGTATTCGGTACACCAAGACTGGCTCAGCTGGATTGTTTGCTCACCACTCCCTTCAGCCGTGTCTCATGTATCGGCAAGGGGCTTAGCGAGGTGGTTCCTGTCCCAGTTTGCCTATCGCCTTTCCCGAGTGCAGTACCATGGGAGATTTGGGTGACCCGTCTGCATGCGAGGCCGGCATAATCCTCCCCATTCCTCATGAAGTCCAAGGGTGACAGATCAATCGAGCCTAGATTAGGCACCCGTACGAATTCCGTAGAGTCGATACCCCATGGATGCCATCGACAGTGCCATGCGTGATGCACTGGAGAAGAATGAGAGTCAAGTTTGCTGATCAGGCTGAATCCACGGGTTTGTGGACGCTACGACTTGCAACGGTGCCATCACGACTAGTGCCGTTGGCGGTCAATCGAGGCAAACAGACATGCAAGCCGAATCCGCCCCGTCACCAATAACCAATGCTTGTCTGGTGAATTTGGATCCTCTATTGGCCCCAAGACGCGCCCCCAGGCTGGTTGGTTCATTACTCCAGGAGAACGAAGAACAAAGCTGGGCCTCAGACTCTGTTTCGAGGCCTGATCCAGGCTCGATCTCGAAATTCGGATCTCATTACTTTTTTTTTCTCGCTCCTCATCAGCTCTTCCCTCCATTCAGCTTGGGGATCGACCAAACTCGGAGCCTCAGCCTGACATTAATGGGCCGGCCCAGCTCCAGCTCCTACCTTCCCACGCACGCCTTGTCGTGCTTGTGCTCGGGTGGAATGCGGAAGGAACTCTTTTCCAAAGCTTGGATTGGGTCGTTTACCCGCAATAAGACCAAGGGTTGAGAAATGAGGCGCTCAGGGCTCAGCCGATGATCGACCAGGGCTGTAAATGGCTTTTTCTCCCCTCCCCCCCCCCCCAAGCCCTCTTATCTTCTTCACACCGCGACACCCGAAGAGCGGCGCGCCACAAGCTCAAACACCGCCTGGAGCTCCGGATTATTTGGAAACATGAGGGAGGTGGTCAAAAGAAGTCGGGCGCAGGTTTTCAGCGCCTCGCCATCCGGGTTTCATCGAGGACGCGCGGGACTCGCCACGCAGCCATACACGGGTCAGAGGCACTTGTTAACGGCTTGTCCAGGGCACTCGCGTGTCAAGCCCCTGGTCTCCTTCTCTGTTGGGCGGTGTATCTGGCTCTGCGCCTCGAAAACCGCCTGATAGATGATAAACTCCCCTCGCGGGGAAAAGAAGATCTCAAGAGGTGATCAATCCATCTAGACAAACTCTGTATTATCCCCTGAAGCCCCCTCGATTTTTCTTGTGGATCGATCGTGTTCCAGTCGCAGCCATGACGGCCCTGTGTGGTTACAAGAATGGAGATTTGAGTGAGTGATTTTCCTCTGAGGCGCCTTGATCCTCACGGGTCATTTTGCCTGTCAGCTGATCAACCCCCTCCAGACTCACCCGTCGCCTGTCAATCAGGGTTCGGCTGTGTGGAATGGGAGTCTCCAGGCGTCTTTGGATGTACAAGCGGCATCAACACCATCCTGCCGACGACATGTGTGGAAGCAGAAGCGCAGGGTCCAACGCCCACAGTCGGGGCCATTTCCTGGTTAAGGCTTTTCCCTCTTCTTTCTTTCTTTTCTTCTTTGGTGCAAGACACTGACGGGGAAATCCGTGGCAGTGACTCGGACGCACCGTACTGTGCGACCGTCTCCCTGTATTGGAGCGACTACTACTACACGCACTGGGAATGTGCCCCGCGATCCGTCGAGGCGGTTACGATCCTAGCCATCCCAACCGTCACTGGCCACGGCGAACCTTCGACACAGTACCTCAACGCAGCTTTTTCCGACCCAACTGCAAGTCCCTCGGGGGGAGGCGGCGGGGGCAACGGCACCAACGGCGATGACTCGTCCTCCAGCCAGGGCAGCGGCTCAGGCGGTGGTGGCAACAACATCGGGACCATCATCGGGGCCGTTGCGGGCGTGGTTGCCGCCCTCGCCGCGATCGGACTGTGGATCTGCACCAAACACCACTTCCACAGGCAGCGACAACACGATCGAAACCTGGGCGGGAGTGGAGACATGGTGGTGCGGAACAACCGCGACATGATGACCGTGGCCGGGCAGCTTGAGCGCGGCGGACCCGTCAACGTCTACGTCAACGAGCTTCACTACCACGACCATACGGGAAGGGGAGGGCCGCTGAGGTTGGCGAGTTGAGTTGAGTCTGGGGACGGGAGAATTGTCACTCTCAAACATCGTTTATGACTTGACGAATAGAAAAGGTCCCGTCGACCATCACGATATTTGTTAATTGGACTGGATATCACATAGGAAAATGGATATACTGAGAAGAAACAGACCATTATCATTGTGAAAATGTGTTTTTGTGTTTTTGGTTGTATTTGTTTGCCCTTTGTAAGGATTTACTGGGTACGAGGTACAAGTAATTCATAATTATCGGCTCCACAAAGGGGCCGAAAGGGGCAATACCCGGAATCCACTAGTATATGCCACCTTGGGAAAGGGAGTACTCCGTAGTTACAGCATTGAAGCAGCACGTGGGCGGATATTTTGGTAGAGAAACAACCAGTACGATACATGTGTTACTACCGGCAGCTCAAGAATATCTGAATCAAAGGCTCGATGATTATCATGTGGCTTTTTCTTGTTGTCGCACACCAGGGTCGCGAGAGTTACGTGGGTTGTATATAATACATTATATACCTCTAATAAAGCAGCCCATACGAACGACAACCTGGTATCCCACGCACGACTGACAAACGTGCCGTGAGGCTCTCCAAGGATCCTCGCTCGACCCTCACTGACCGGCTGGGGCTTGCCCGACCTTCTTCAACGCCTCCTTGCCCTGTTCCGCCGCCTCGGTGAATCCCGCGACCAAAACGCTATAGTCCAGCGTCGCCAGGAGGAAAGTCATGCCCAAGCCCGCGCGGGTCGCTATCATCTCTGGAGTCGTCGCCATTGAGCCGACGACCTTGCCGTGCTTCTGGGCCGCGGCGAGCACCCCCGATAGGGCCTGAGTGAACTCGGGCTCGGGCCCGTCCACGCCGCCCGGCAGCCCGAGGGACAGACGCAGGTCGTAGGGGCCGATGAAGGTGCCGGACACGCCGGGCACGGCGAGGATGGCGTCGGCGTTCTGGATGCCCTCGGCGGACTCGATGATGGGGAGGATGGCGACCCCGTCGTCCTGCGCCATGTCGTAGTAGGTGCCGAACTGCGTGCCGTGGAGCTGTCGGCCAAAGGGGGCGTTGAAGGGACCGAAGCTCCGTTTCCCCCTCGGCGGGTAGATGGCGTGCGAGATTATGCGCTCCATCTCGGCCGCGTTGTTGACCATCGGGATGATGATGCCCGCCGCGCCGCTGTCCAGTGCCCACTTGACCCATTCGACGTCGTGGGACGGCACGCGCACAATGGCCAAGCAGTTGCCCTTGGACGCGGCCACCACGCTGTGCACCATGTAGGTCATCTGCTCCGCCGACATGGGCGCGTGCTCCATGTCGATCATGACAAAGTCAAACGTCTGCGCTGCGAGCATGGCGACGATGGGACTCTGGACCGTCAGCACCGTGCCCAGCAATGCCCGGCCCAGCCGTTTATGCTGGTCTCGGAAGCGAGCGATGCCCCCTTCGCCAGGCGTATGGGTCGGCTGCGATTTGAACATGACGATTGACCTGTCTTGAATGTTGACTTTGTCTTCAGTCAAACGTGAGCTGAGCCTTGTCAGCCCTTTGAACGGTCCACGTAAGGAATCCACACAAGGACTCTTCTCTTGCTGGGGAGGAGGATATTGGGGGAATGGCAATCGGACAGTCAGTATGTTCGGTATCGTGGCCAAGAGGGGTTTCCTGGATGAGGTTGTTGGCAAATCTGGGGAGAATTACAGTAACCTGGGGAACCAACCCTCGGTTGTCGGTAACCACCAAGTACATGTATGTAGTTCACGTTCCAACGAGGTTGGATGGCGATGGAATCGGAGAAGCGAAAAGCTCTCGGGCCGTGATATCCGTACCATTTTGTATGTTTGAGTCATGATTTGACTGAGTGGTCGGGATTCAATCTCCTGCAGTCGCCCGAGTCGCCTGTGGGTTGTCGGTTACTGACTCTCATAATATGATATGTTTCCACGCGCTGTGATTCCCAAAGGGATACACGGGCACCAACTCGACAGGTGAATGCAACAGTGCAATGGCCATAGCCTACAGATTTATCCATTACATCGTGTCTCCTGGGGGAACCTCTATGGGAGACCTTGTTGCCAGTACGTCGAAACATCATTCTCCCCGTAAGCCGTGGACCCGGTATCAAAGACCGAAACCCGTCGCATATCCCGCCTATATTTCCCCTCGTACTCCCCGTGGGTTGCTCTATGCAACACGGCACAGTTGTCCCAGATGGCAACGTCGTTGTTGTCCTGCCAATGATGCACAAACTTGTACTTGTCTTGCTGGACATGCTCAAACAACTCTTTGAGTAATTTTTGGCCCTTCTCCAGATCCATCCCGTCGATATGATGGGTGTAAGACGTGACGTAGAGATTCATTCGACCAGACTGCTCGTGTAGCTGAGCAATCTTGTGCTTCGCCAGAGGGTGGTCCATCGGGTTGATATGGAGGAAGAGGGGCGAGTCCGGATTGGCCGTCTTTCGGTTGTGGAACAGCGAGTTGCAGCCTACAAGGCCCTCGATCTCCTTTTTCTTCTCCTCTGGGAGATCGTCGTACGCTGTCCGGGTGTCCAAGTACTCGGTATGGCCCCCAGTGCCTTTCGGGGGAAGTTCGACACCTCGCAGGATGGAAACACCGGTGCGACGAGGGTTGAAGGCTCCATCAGCATGCCACAGCGCATTACCGTTGGCAGACGCGGTGCGGTTGGGGTCTTTGACTGTCACGACCTCGTTCTTGTCGTCCAGGTTACCCACGTCGAAGATCTCGTCGTTGGGGATCCTCATGGCCCTGCCCGCCAGCCGATGAGCCCTGACGCTATCCAGTTCCCCGAAACGTCGGCCAAGGGCAATGGCCGAGTCGTCGTCTAACGCAGTCTTGCGAAGGACGACGACGCCGTACTTGTGGACAGTGTCTCTAAGTTCTTCGAACAGGGCATCATCGATCGGCTTGGAGAAGTCAATGCCTTCGACTTCGGCGGCAAAGGTTTCAGCAAGAGGTGTAATCTGCAGCCTGGTGACACTAGGCATATTGGCTGGACAATGGAGCTATGATTTGGGTGGAATTGTTGAAGGAGTCTTGCACGAAACGATGAGACAGATTGCCCTTGGATCGAGCTGAGGTGAATAGTATATATTCCCCACCGTCGGCACTCTGCTTTCGTTCCAACCTGACTTCGGGTGTCAAGGCCCGTTTGACTCTCAGTCTCTCGAGTTCGCTTCCCCGCCCGGCTCTTTGACCGCCGCGGTTCTTCGGAATGATAGCATGGAGGAGCAATAACTTTGCCATGCGATCGACCCAGTCGTGTGGTTATGTCGCTTCTCGAGGCGAAGAGGACGAAAGGGGCATGTTCGATCTCCCGAATCCGGTTGCCAAAGAAGTATATAACAAGTCACTTTGGGTTGTTGATCGCTAGGTCAAGTAGACGTCGTGACTGGTATTTTTGATGATCCATCCTGGATAGCCCAATTGCTGGAACGGTCGTCTCTCTCCCCAACATACAACATCAACAGCGTGATGCTGAAGCCAGCCTGGGTCCCAAGCATGTCACACACGAGAATATCCATGTGCGGACACTCGTAGTACTCGCGGTACAGCAAGACTGCGGGGACCCCAGACTCTGACTTTTGACTCCAACTCTGGGGTTTTCCGTGGAAAATGCTCGCCGTCTGCCGTCCCAAATTCACCCACAGCCTCGGGAACATGCTTCTTGGCTTCTTTACGGATTTGGTATGCCGAGTATGTCATGTTCCAGCCGTTGGAGGTGAACCCGTCGTACGCTGTCGGCTGTCTGCGGTGCTTTTCTCTCTCTCCGCTTCGACCCCCTCGTCCCGAAGCATCTGAAGCGAGAGATCTTGTGGAGCAGGCTCAGGAAGTATCTAGCCCAACAGCCAAGAATCTAGGCCGGTCAATTGGGGACTCTCCGACGGGATATATCATGTTTCGCGTTGTCTGTGAACACTCCTTGCCCTGACCAAGTTCTCACGGCTCTTCCAATATCTGTTCGGGATCAGATGCAGTCAGACGAGGTCCTTGCGTCGCGACGAGCAGCGTCAGCTCTGCCAGACGAGGATGCTCCGGGCACCAAGCGACAGAAGATATCTCCCTCAGCGCGGCCTCGCGCTTCGCTAGCTTGCCACAGCTGTCGTCAGCGCAAGATTCGAGTTAGTGAGGAATAGCTTCCCATTTGGAGAATACAAACTCATCTTCACCTAGTGTGATATTCAACGCCTTCCTACCGGGTCTACGTGTAGCGCATGCCGCATTTCCGACATTGACTGTCGCGTCAGCCAGTTCTCGGACCGTAGAAAGTGTGTTAGGTGGATTCTGGCATGGCTGAGCTCGATAAGCTGACACTTGATTCTCAGGCACGGTTCTCGCGAGCACATTGCTGCACTTCAGGAGCAGATCCGATCGCTGGACGTTCTGATCCGCCAGATCGTTCCCGATGGCAATACATCGCTTGGCAGTAGTCAGGGAGAGAGTGCGCCAGTGCTGAAATCGCCGACAGCTGCAGCTGCAACCACCAGACCCAGCCTTGACGATATACGGGGGCCACAAGACGCGACTCTGATCGCCGCTCACCGAGCCTCATCGGCAGTCGTGCAGCCAAGCACAAACAGTCCTGAGTCCCCTCGAGCCAATCAAGGTCAACAGTCTTCTGCTGAGTGCGTCGCTCTTTATACCTTGTTTGCATTGCCTCCCAAAGCTGTATGAAGTGCTGACTTGTCAAGGCAACCGGGTCTCGCCGACAACGAAAGGCAACGGCGAAGCCACACGCCTCGAGTTCACCATGAAGTCAATGGCGAGGGCGAGGTTTCCGAGGAATCCGGCATATACTTTGGCCCGTCATGCCAACTCCATGTGTCGTCGCCTTCTGATGTGGTGAAAAGTGTGTCGGGCATTCATGCTCTAGGGACTCAGATTGACATGGACTCGGATCGCCTGAAAACCCTCCTGTTCAACAACTACTGCAACTTCCAGACCCTTTCAGTCACCATCATTCACCCCGAGCTCTTTTTGTCCCACCGAGCGCGAGGCTTGCGATCCCAGCATTACTCCCGGTTTCTGGAAAACTCCATGATGGCGTGCAGCGCGCGCTTGAGTACTTCGGTTACGGTCCGCGCGTTGGGATCCAGCTATGCGATGCGTGCAAAGTCGGAAATCGTGTCAGAGTTGGAAGATCCAAATGTGGCGACGCTGCAGGGTATGCTGCTTCTCAGTGACTACGAGATGACTGAAGGACGCGACCGAGTTGGCTGGATGTACTGTGGTGAGGTCTCCTTTCCCTCAGCATCGTGTGCCAGCCACCCTAATCAAAGGATTAGGTATTGCCTGTCGGCTCGTGGTTGACCTGGGTCTGCACCATGCTTGGAGCAAGAGCAGTGACCAAGATGCCTCGAACATCCGTGGAGCAAGGTTCCGCGGCTCTGTGACGTTGGGCTGCTTCGTCTACGAGACCCTCTGGAGCATGTACCTGGGACGTCCAAGCCACATAGCCATGCTGGGCCCGTCTCTGTCCTCGTATGCTGACCATGTATCTGACAATCTGACTTTGAGGGCGTGGTTTGACTTGTGTGTATTGATTGCCGAGATTACGACAATCCTCGACAAGGATTCGCTTATACAGGCAGGCACTCTGAATCGACTGTCAGAACTCGATGGCAGGTTGCGCCGGTGGTATTCGTCAGTGCCCGCAGACATTACCCTTGATTATGACAACGTCTCTGCTCTTGACGCCGTGGCGTATGGTCTGCATATGCAGTATCTAAGGGTGCAGATGCTGTTGCATTCTCTTCCCATCTCAAGCCAGCGGAAGCGCAAACAAAGCGACGGCAAGGACCAACCCCCAGTCCTTCGCAATTGGACCGCCGAGTCTTCCAGGCAGCTTGTGCATCACAACGCGCTGAAGATTGCCCAGCTGGGTATCACCTACGGACAGATTTTCGGGGTGGAAAAGACGCCTTCTGTGATGCTGGACAATCTGTACGTGGCGGCGACCGTCTTAATCTCCAATATCTTGGGGGCCGAGCACTCTTCCATAGACGAGAACGACCTTCGGTGGCTTCGATTGCTGGATGAGATGCTGAAAGACCTTCAGCCGCATTTTCATATCACCGCCAGGATGAGGAGGACCCTGGCTCGCATCGTGGAAGGCTGTCCCCTGCTTGCCGGTGTCTTTATGGACGACGTGCAGACCTCACCTGTACAATATGGTTCCAAGCATGGGGGCTTGGACAATGCACATGGCGGTGGTTGGGGTTCTCTCGAGGCTGCCGTCAATGACTTTGTCCTCGACCCCAGTCTGTTCAACCTCGTTGACTTTGAGCTGGTCGGTGACGGCGACGGAGTGAACCGCGGCTAGTAAGGACTCTAGAAAGGCTTCTGGAGGTGGGACTATGGCAGACTCGAATGAGTACTTCATAGCTACATGAAACGCCCAGAATGAGTGTCCCTTACCCGCAATCGACTGATTGAGTGCCAGTTCCTGAATGATTGGAGGTTGGCTTGCGTCAGAAGGGATGTGGCGCGTGGTTGAGTTCACTCACGTCCAGAATTGTATGTATCGTGGCAGTCTGTGGAGGTATGTAGAGGAATGGAACGGGCTATTGCTCGGTAGCTATGAAGGCCTTCATTGTGTTGCTGGTTGGGTGCGCGTGGTGCGGAAAGACCCTTCGACCCCATCCGTGTCCTACACCACCAGCGCTATTACTCGTCGCCCGCATTTTCTTGTTTTGTATTGAATAAATATTTTTTTGCGGCACAGGTTGACAAAGTATTCTGAACACAAGAAAACCCTGGCCTGACGCCCTGACCTCTCTACCTGTCCCCTACTCCGACTCTGCATTCTGGTCCAAAGTGCCACAAAATGCGCACTCTTCCCAACATCATCATAACAGGCACTCCCGGCGTCGGCAAGACCACGACATGCACACAACTCCTCAGTCTAGCCTCGTCCTCCACGCCTGCGATTAACCTCAAGCACCTCTCGATCAACGACCTCGTCAAGTCTCGCTCCTGCCACTCCGGCTACGATGAAGATCTGCAGACCCTGATCGTGGACGATGACAAACTCATGGACGAGGTGGAGAAAGACATCTCCGATGGGGAAGGCGAAGGCGGATGGGTCATTGATTGGCATTCCACCGCTGGGTTCGCCGTGCGCTGGGTCGACCTCGTGGTCGTGCTGAGGTGTGAAGAGACGAGTGTTCTCTACGACCGCCTCATGGCGCGAGGCTACAAAGACTCCAAAGTGCAGGAGAACATGGACGCCGAGATCTTTGGCGTTGTGACCGAGGAGGCCAAAGAGGGATGGGGAGAGACGGAAGATGGGAGGGTCGTTGAACTCAAAAGCGTGAATGCAGACGACATCGATGAGAACGCCGAGCGCATTCTGCAGTGGGTGAAGAACTGGATTAAAGATCATACTACAAATGGGAACGAGGGTTAGGGGCAGTGGGATGGCAAAAGCTCGACTGGGGATTCCTCTATTCTTGGATGACCCACGTCACAAAAGTCTACGATTCTATTTGAATGAGGCACTGTGCGGCAGTTATGGCTACGGCTCCAGCTCACCCCCAGCCAGCCATGCTTTCAGCTTGGCCAGAGCCTTGCCTCGATGCGAGATCAAGTTCTACGCCAGGAATGTGGTTAGCCATGTCGCCCATTACAAGGACAAGAGGGGACGAGGTCGAAGGAGTACATACTTTCTTCTCCTTCTCCATCTCGGCATATGTCTGACCATCCTCGAACTCGAAGACGGCATCCCAGCCTATTGGAGTTCGCGGTCAGAAATTACCCACTGCAAATTGCACCCAGGCTTTGCATGGAACCATTTTCGCAAGGGGGAGTTCACATACCAAAAATTGGAGGCCCCCTGGCTGGCACGATCTTTCCCTGACACCGGCCCTGGAACAGAATCGGCTCATAGCCAGGTCCTGCACAGTACGCAAACGTACACACCGCGAAGGCGGTCTTGTCTTCGTATGCGGCGAGCATCTTGTTGAGACCGTCGTGACCGAGGGCCTGAAGGAAGTACTTGCTATGGTAGAGGAGTTATAGCGTCAGTCGTTGCTGAGGAAGGTAACAATGCTCTGTGCAGGAGCAGGGGTGATGAAGAGGACGGTGACTGGTTCGTCTGGGGATTCTGTTCAATGGCACGTTTCAGGGGAGTGTGAGCTCACATATAAGGCCCGGGTAACCCTTTGAGGGCCTGAAACTCCAGCGCAGTGTCTTCCGTGAGGACTGGGCCGTTCACCTAGCCGGAGCACGGTTTGTTAGCATATACCTTTGACAGACATAACATCCAATGTAGAATATTCCATCCATTAAGTGTACTATAATTATTAGTGAGAAGACACTCACCGCCCTCGCGGCCCTCGAGGCCTTATCCCTCGCGACCTCCTCAATGGTACCCTGGATCTCGGCGCCGTCGATATTGCGGCTCTGCAGGTCCAGACCGGCCACGTCGCCGAGGATCGCGCGGACTTCGGCCAGCTTGTTGGCGTTGCCGGTGATGAAGTTCAGGACCTTGGGCCGTTGGTTTACCGGTTGCGGGTCCAGGGACGCTGGTGCCAGAGACATTTTCTATCTTTGCTCTCGCGAAGAGAAGAGATAGGAGGGTGGGAGACGGGGTATCCTTTGTGGAAGGGTCTGGGTGATTTGGTAGTGGTATAATTTTCTGTGCCAGTTAAAGGAAAAAAAGAAAAAACATATGCTGGGGACGAGCGCAAGGTGTTCACCGGCGGGTCAAACGTGAGTGCCTGTGTTCAAAACGAACCCAATAAGACCTGTCCACTTTGCTCGACTTGATTTTCTAGACTGTAGATGTATGTTGTAGGGAGCAGCGGGTTGTATTTCGGTATATCTTGTGTCACATCTATTCGACACTGTTGATAGCGAAAGCGAGAATTTGAAATGACTCAAACTGCGCAAGGCTGCGCGGCCACAAGGCTACGAGGCTACATCCTAACCACAGCTAGCCAGTCAAGTCGAACTCTGAGCTTCCACCAGTAACAAATATTTGGTCTGAGAACAAGTAATGAGCAACAACAGCATACAAACCAGAACGCTCATACCAATTTGCTGAAGAAGCCTATCAATAGGCCTCTAGAGATGCCCCGACCGTGTCATACCTAATCCATCCATGCTGCCGGTCAGCCTTCGAAGTAGTCATTTGTTCTAACAAACTCCTCCATCGTCCCAGTTGCAATGCAATATCAAAAGAAGCCCTCATAGGAGATGTCCAAGCCGCAATGAATGAGTTTAACAATGCTCGCCTTCCGTGCCCTTCGGTAATGATAGTCCGTGTGTGATGTTCCCCGCATGTTATGACTGCCTCGTTTTCAACTTCAAGAGTTCAAAGTCCTTATACTTCTCCAGGTATCTCTCGCCCCTTCGGTGAGCTTTCAAGAGCTTTTCAGGCTCAGCGCACCGGAACGTCGTGTTGCGTGAAAAGGCGAGTTTCTTGAGTGCGGGGCTTGGGTTGAACATGGGATCGAAAACGACCAAGTTGACAACACCATTCGACCTTTGCTCGACCCCCACGATGGTCATGGAATGGCCATGATGTTGAAAGTAGATCGGCGGCTTGTCCGTAATAACTACTTTGTCAACGCTAGCTTTGGTCGAGTCGTCGTCGAAATACTCGCAGACAGCGAGAAGCATTGTTTCGAAGCCCTCGACCTCTTTTGTAGTGGTGTACGCGGTTGCCTCGCATGGTACATCGAGACTCATGAACAATGCTTGCGCCTCCGGTGTGCCAATGTATTTGCGGGTGAATCTGATGCCGCCGGTTTCCACACGTCCGCTAGAGTTGAAGCCCAGGTCCCAAGCGTTTTCGATCATGTCTTGGACCTTCAGTATAGATGGCAGTCTTCCCCTGAAGTTCTCTGCGCCATTAGCATCCGCACCCTGGATGTAGGATACCAGCATCTGAATATTGCGATAGCCGCAAAAGCCACCTTCCCTTGGCATTTTGCACACGTGGAGAACTTGAGGACTGCAATAGAATGCACGTTCGACCGTTCTGTCCAGCTGAGACAGCCGAGAGAGTACAGGTACGAGATTGGGCGTCTCATTGGCAATGGTTTCGACCTTGATCAACGTGCCGTCGGGGCCGATCCTGTTAGTGATCGTGACTTTGGCGCCCTCCTCGAGCATGCGGCGCAGCCAGCCCGGCATCTGCTGCTCGTGAGCATAGGGACCGAGTTCCGACCGCTGCAAACAATTAGCTTACTATTCAATGTTAGATTTGGTCCACACTCACTCCAAGCCGTTTTGTCTTCCCAAGTTTCGAAGAGACGGCCGAAAGAGCCGATTTCCTCTTAGGAGACGCGGGAGTGCCGAGGAAGATATCCTTGAGAGATGGACCGCGTCTCTTTTCGCTGCGAGGAGGAGGGGCGGACGGTTTGTCAGGAAGTTGGCCATAGTTTCGAAGAGACTTTGAAATATGAGTGCTGAACGAGTTGGAGACATCGACTAAGGGACGTTGGGCAGTTGACCGAAGGGTCGAAAGCTCAACGTCTTTGCTAGGTATATCGGCGTCATCCATGGAAATATTCTCCTGAGCATGCATGTCGGAATGGGCATCGAGCTCGAGAAAATGTACGCGTTCGCCACAGACACATTGTACCCATGATTCTTCCTTTCCAGCTCGAGAAATTGATGGGAGCTGTGGTGGATTCGTTGCACTTTCCGGCATCCCATTTTCATCACGGGCAGGAACATTGTGACGGTCTGGTAGGGCTAGTTCGGCAGGCAAGCCTGCTTCCTCAAAGGCAAGAAGTTGAGCCAGATCAGCATCGCTCAGCTGAGGCGCGGCATTGTAGGGTTGCTGACGGTCAGGCTGCTGGCCGCCATGCCGATGTTGCACGTGCCTTTCGAGGGCGTCAAAATCATGGGTGCCGAAGCGGCAAAAGGGGCAAGTTAGATATTGTTCGCGATTTTCGGTGGCCATCATGACCCATGGGATATAATAGAATGAGAGATGGCGCGAGAGGCTTAACAAGATTCCATCTTGTGCGGGATGGGATATCAGGCTGCGGGCGAGCCCAATCGGTCACTTCAACGGTGCCTGTCACTGGCTGCTACCTGCTGTCCACTAACAACCTTATCTTTTTCAACAGAAGCGATGAAGTGCAGCGAACGCATAGAGGGACAACGAATAACAGAGGACAACAGAGTGGCTTTTCCGCCTCGCCTCAACTCCGTGTGGCAGTGCTTAATTAGGGTGTGTTGTGTACTTGTATGCGGACGAGGAATGTCCGAGCAGGCTGAACAGTGGGCGAATGGGGTATTGGGAGGGCCGCGTTGATCGCCAAGGGGAGTTTAAGGAGGATTCTCGGGTGGAAGCGCAAGAGGAAC